TGTGTGTGTGTGTCTGTGTGTGTGGCACTGTGTGTGTGCGTGCGTGTGTGTGTGTGTGTGTGTGTGTGTGTGTGTGTGTGTGTGTGTGTGTACCGTTCTACACCTGGCTAGGTAGCAGTCGAAATGTTATTGACTTTAAACCTGTCGTAAAAAGCTGTGATCTTTGCTATGATACTTTGGTCGAATAATTCTTTAGTTGTCTTGTTGGTTCTGAGGTTGATTTCTTTGACAGTTCGCATACAATTACTTATAAAAAGATCCATTTTGCGCGGACATTACATTTTAACCGCGTGTTACTGTGTATTTTCATCATTTGAATTGAGTAATCAAAACACTTAGTACTTTACAGTTTTATCCTATACTGTTATCAGTCAATTTTCACCAACTGTAAAGGTTTGTAACTTTGTCCATGAAAGTCGACGTCATTTTTTACACTCGCAGCGTCTTGGCTCACATTTCAAATGACTCTCAGTGAATTCTGTGTTGCACCCGACTTCAAGACGCCTTGTCGATTATCTTTCGCGCCCAAGGTCGTCATCAAGTTCATCGCTGCCTGGGGCTGTTGATTTAAAATGTCATGCTCGCTATGCCACGTGAATGTTTGCGCGTTGAGAACAGACGCCGTGGCTTCGTGAGTAGGGAGAGTACTGCCGTGGTAACTATTGTCGCTGCTGTCATCAATATATACCCAATTATACAAGGAGTGGTTCGTGGTTGCCTATATCGTAATAGCAAGAGTTCTTATTCACAGTCTGTTATTATGAGCGCTTGATAATAGCCATCCGTGCCACACGCAGCAGGCGAATCAACGATGTGCATCGTAATAACTATTGCAGCGGTAGCGCTGTGTATTTTTCATTAAAAAATGTAGAAAAATCAGTGAAACGTGGATGAATGATGAACACGAATTCGCTTCTGACGTCACGCGCGTTGTTGATGACGTCTTGTGAAGAATGATGTATTTTAGTCACGACATGTGTCATTTGAGAGTGTATATATGGTCTATCTGATTCGATACAAAGCATATGGATGATCTGTAAGCTTATGTTTGTTGTGTGCAGAGTGCTTATAAACGAGGAAATCGTTTAGAGAGATAAACAATTTAATAGCTACGCACGTATTATTGTTTTTTCATTGCAAGATGTAATTTACCATAAAGGTGATGGGGTGGGTGTGACGGGTCTCTGACTATAGACCTATATAGACCCAATATATCAGCTGTCCCGTAAATCATGTTCGCTAAATAATCGAACATATCGCTTGCTGAAATCTACAGCTAAGTGTGGGTCACCCACCTAGGTGGTTATGATAGATATTCATACAAGGAAGAACGACGGGAGAATAAATTGAGACAATGGGGTGGTTGAAAAGATGGGAGAGGGGAAATGGGGGTTAGCCAGACACACACACACACACACATATATATATAGCGAGGCCGGTAGGTGATTTATCCAGAGCCTGTTACAAAGACTGGAGACGCCAATATACATGGTTCCCACAATGCAATACATACAATACAAGTGTGGATTCTTTTTTCAAGGACATGTTTGTTTTCAAGGACTATGTGACAAGTAGTTTTAGCTTTTTAGAGTCATCATATATACCTTATATCATATATTATTGATATATATATATATTATAATATTATATATATATATATTATTGATATATATATATATTATAATATTATATATATATATATTAGATTCATGTCACAGTCCTGTAACAATATGTAAAGCTATGATGTAACATGTATCAATCAGAACTATGTATCACAGTGTGATACATAGTTCTGACTGACACTATAATGTGCTGTATCACTCGGGAATTTTATTATGCTCAACACTTGCATTTATCAGATTTTTTCTCCATGAAAAAGACTGTTGAATTACCTGCAATAAAGATTAATAATAATAATAAACAATTGCCGGTTCTTTATGCTGACCTTTCATCTGCTGTTTCAGGCAGTAACATTAACGACATTAAGAATATTAACAGTAACAATACATTAACATTAAAGTGAATAAAGGTAATCACTAAGTCTTATTCCTTACTCCCCTCTCGTGGATGGTATCGCCCACGATCAGTCGAGCATGGAAAAACTCGCCAGCAAATGACCGTATTTCAGCCAAAACTTTTTCACTCCCCGAAGCACAAAATGTGAATTTACGCCTATAAATAATACACGCGCATGCGTGCGTGCGACCATACCAGCGTGTGCGCGTCCGTTAGTGTGTGTATGTGTGTTTGTGTGACTGTAAAAACGCGTATTACAGCCGTATAATCATATTTTGTGCTTTGGGGGGTGAAAAAGTTGAGGCTGAAAACCAGCCATTTGCCTGGCTAACTTTTCACCGTGCAACGAGGTCCTAGGCGATACCATTTGGGAGAGGGATAGGCCTATATAACTTATTCCCTAGAGAATATAACATGATAGGAAATAGATTAATTAAAGTACCATATAAATAGATAGACATATCAGATATAGATAGATAGAAATAGATAGAACACCAGATATTGAATGAAAAAGCATTATTTGTATTTTCTTAGTTTTTCATGATGGTTGATTCTATTTGGTACATTACGCCTATTACTGCTAGGTAATCAGTACAATTATTTTTACAAAGACTTTTCGAGGACATTTCAAGGACGTTTTTTTTCAATCACAATCTGTGACAAGTAGTTTTAGCATTTTTTAGAGTCATCACATATACCTTAGATTCACATATAAAGTAAAAATAGTTGTTTTACGCCCTAATTCAATGAGCGCAATCCTTTCTCTATAATTTCCTTTCTCTATAAAGATCTTCTTCAGCCTCCAACCCATGGAAGAAACCACTATAGCAATATTCTCCTTGTCCCAAATCTTTACAAATAATAACAAATAATATTAAATTTAATCAAAAATTCACATAACAGTATCTGCTAAAACTAGTTTGTTTTCCCTCGTTTTAGTCATGGGTGGCATGGGAAGGGATTATGTGATATATTATAGGGACTATATATGCCGAATATTATAATAATTTTTTATTTATTACTCAGTGTATTTTCCTACACACAAATTGACACAATTGTGTAGCAAAATATGAACACTGAGTAATAAATAAATATTAAAATGATGAACTTAAGCTAGTCTAGACCCCTACACCACCTGCACGTAAAAACTAGGGACAAAACAAACTACTTTGGTAGAGTGCATTAGTAGACAATGGCATGGGAATTTTGGAATAATTTTAACTTTTTTATCGAAGACTTGGAACAATAGGATCAGTCAGATAACCAGCAATAAAGATTTGCTTTTTATTTTAGGAAAAAAATGTAAAATTCCAGGACATTAGACATAAAATAAGAACTTGGACATATTTCCAAGGACTTTCAAGGTCAAAGGACAAAATTGAAGGACTTTCAAGGGCTGTGGGGACCCTGTAATATATAGGTATAGTAGTTATAATCTTCTAATATCTATAATAGCCTTGTATACATTAAGAAGCAGTATAAATCATTATATACAGTAGCTAAACCTGTATAAACAGAATATCTATCTGTTTTAAATATACATGAAATGTCCCCATTTTCCCTGTTGCACAAATAAACAGTATGATGGTTTTTTATACCCATCGGTAACATCAGTAATTCAAACACATTGCCATGTAAAAAGTTCACATCAAACTTTGTGCTTTATTTATTGTTTTTTGAGAAAACCAGAGAAACATCAATGGGCGATAAAAGACCTCTTCTTTTCTGATTAAAAATTGCAAGATTTAAAAAATGAATTTAATAATTATTACCTTAATTAATCAATATTTTCAAATTTGAAACATACAGATACACAGTTATCTATTGCCAACAACGGTTTTATTTACTACGGAAAATTTAGCATGTAGGCCTACTCAATTTACAAATCGTGCCACACTGTTCCAGTATCCACGGCTCATCGTACACACATCAATCAGTCATTCCATTGAACTACGGTGGCAGGCTTATGTCCCTTTACCACTGCCTCTTCCACCCCCTAACGTCCCATCATGGTGGCGTGTACTTTACCCACGTCTTAATTTACAGTTCTCATGCCATCTCAAGAACGGAAGCTTTCCCAAGGGGCACGACGATTTCTTAATGAATGTAAACAATTCATTAAATGTGATGCCATTCAGTTCATACTAAATGCAGTAGTATGTACCTAATAAGTTGTGCAACCATGGGCACCACATTCTTTTTTGATAAGCCCTCATTCTTTTTAACCACAGTTTTTGCAGGTTTTTTGAACTTCTAATCAATGCCAGTCCTCAATGCTCTAGCAGTATGCAAGGGATGACTGCATGTATAAATGCTGGCATAGCCATTTAACTGCACTGATCATACTGGACTAGCTAAACCAAGACAATGCAGTAATGCGAGACAACAATGGGAATCAACCATTCCTGGTGCATTCACACAGCTGTACAGAACAATAAAACTATATGCAATTATTTACAATCGCTGTTCAACGCAACTTGTAGTGAACAAATATCCTTGATATTTTAGAAAAACGCAGCTGTACACATACCAAAATGTTTACATCTACTAATTTACACATAAATGTATATACTGGTGGTATGTTTACCACCTTTCTGAACAAACTCCACCACATTTGCCACATACATGGAAATTCATGAAGCGAACTACAAGTGTGCGCTCACTACTAATGTCTGCTGTTGTGAATAAGCAAAGCATCTAGCTGAGTTCAGTTATAGAAGGGATTGTAGGTGATCCAGTGAGCTTTTCCTTGCTGCTTCGCTTTGTCCGACGTCGTGAAGAGAGACTTGTACACCTTGCTCGCATTAGGATCATCTGCGATCAAACCGTTCGATATTTTGTCCGCCGACTTCGTGCCGTTGTCACTTCTCTGCGACGACGAAGGAACAATTCCTCGCTTTGGAACAACTCCATTCTTCTGTAGCGATGTGGTGGTGCCGCTTGATGACGAGGATGAAGCGGATGGCAACGCAGAACCATTCGTCAGTTTCATCTGTTTACAGGCAGGCTTCTCATTAGTACAGACACCTATCGTAAAGTACAAAACACAATCATTAATTGCAAGACTAAAAGTAACAGTCATTCTGAAAAGCCAAATTTTCGTCATCACGATTGTTCTCATCTGTGTATACCCCTATCGTAAAGTACAAAATACAGTAATTAATTACAAGACTAAAAGTAACAGTCATTCTAAGAAGCCAAATTTCCATTGTTAACATGTTGGCTGTATATTATTTACAATATGTGAGCCACAATAACAATTAATAACAATGTTATTAATGCGCAATTCGTTTTCTTATGGAGATATATAATTGCCAATTAACATATCACTGGAAATTTCTGGCAAGCCTTACCATTCGTCTGCAATTTCTTTTTCCTGCTCTTCTTCTCTTGCTTGGCAAGCATCTTTCTGGCTTCCATTTTCTGTCGGAGATCCTTCACATCTTCCTCACTACCATTGATTACAATGACATCATCTTGAGTATATGGGCTTCCACACTGTAAATGAAACACAAGTATATATGTACTGCTAGATGACGTCAACTTTGGTCCGTGACCGATAATAAAAACTGTTAAAGATGTACACGCGGAGGTACAGTCACACGCGCGCGTGGCAGCATGTATGTGCATTCATGCTTCTTTGTGCATTCGTCCTGTTACAATATAGCAAGTCAATGGAAATAGCATTTAGAAAAAGTTTATAAATGCAAGAGAGACTACAAGACAAAGAGTTTCATCTGGGTGTCTCTAGTACCTAATAAGTATGCAGCCCAATCGTGGGGAAACAGGCAAATAACTGCCTCCAAATTGTGATGTTCAATCTCTATTTGGATGGTGAATGGGTCCGAAACCCAAACCTGGCCAACCCTGAGACATTACAATAATTACTTACTCCAGCAACTAGAGCCAGCAGTTGACAACGCAGCAACACATCACCAGTAACGAAACACTCCTAATTATCTTTCAACATTGCTCATCTCGCCGCGCATGACATTAAAAACACCACAAAGCGCTCACGACGATACACTGTCCAGTCTAACCACTGCACCCATACTTGCAAACCACACAGCTTGCAGATAGTATGTAGTACAGACACTACACACTACTGTGCTAAGCGTATGGCCACGAATGCACGCCTATAGCTCCCGCAGGCAGAAAATGCTCACGACGATACACGTGACTGTCCAGACTAACCACCGCATCCATACTTGCAAACCACACAGAGCCTTTTATACGCAATTCACAGAGTATTTGTTCTCGGTAAACTCTTCCACGTACAGTCACTACTGCGGTAAGCGCTGGCCCCGTAGTATCGCCACGAACGCTCGCCTATAGCTCACCACCCGCAGATAGAAGATGCTCATGCCAATACTCTTGCAGGTAGTATGTATACGTACAGTCACTACTGCGGTAAGCGCTGGCCCCGTAGTATGGCGACAAACGCTCGCCTATAGCTCACCACCCGCAGACAGAAGATGCTCATGACAATACTCTTGCAGGTAGTATGTATACGTACAGTCACTACTGCGGTAAGCGCTGGCCCCGCAGTATCGCCACGAACGCTCGCCTATAGCTCACTACCCGCAGACACAATATGCTCGTGACAACACTCTTGCAGGTAGTATGTACACGTATAGTCACAACTGCGGTAAGCGCTGGCCCCGCAGTATCGCGACGAACGCTCGCCTATAGCTCACCACCCGCAGACAGAAGATGCTCATGACAATACTCTTGCAGGTAGTATGTATACGTACAGTCACTACTGCGGTAAGCGCTGGCCCCGTAGTATCGCCACGAACGCTCGCCTATAGTTCACTACCCGTAGACACAATATGCTCATGACAATACTCTTGCAGGTAGTATGTATACGTACAGTCACTACTGCGGTAAGCGCTGGCCCCGCAGTATCGCGACGAACGCTCGCCTATAGCTCACCACCCGCAGACAGAAGATGACAGGGTGCAGCGCGGGCGCGCACTGCCACGAGGAACACGGCGAGTCGCAGCAGCCCACCGCGGCTCGTCGCAGTGCTCGCAGATCGCGTACACGTAGAGACGATCGTGAAGAAGACGTACGTGAGACGTACGTGACGAGGATGAGCCCGACGGTGATTGTCACCCTGTTCTCACGCTTCACGCACGACCTCCTCTCCCGGCTCTCCGCCGGCGACTGCGGCCGACCTTCGACCTTGGACGCTCCGCCGCTGCCGCCTTCAAGCTTGACGCATTCGCCTTGCGCCTTCGACCTTGACGCCGTCACCTTGACGCTTGCCGCCTTCGACCTTGACGCCGCCGACCTTGACGCTGTCGACCTTGCCGCCTTCAACCTTGACGCCTTCGACCTTGAAGCCGTCGAACTTGACGCCTCCCGCCTTGCCGCCTTCAACCTTGACGCCTTCGACCTTGAAGCCGTCGACCTTGACGCCGCGACCTTGCGCCTTCAACCTTACGCCTTCGACTTGAAGCCGTCGAAATACACTCCCCGCCTTGCCGCCTTCAAGCTTGATGCCTTCGACCTTGAAGCCGTCGACCTTGACGCCTCCCGCCTTGCCGCCTTCAAGCTTTGACGCCCTTCAAGCTTGATGCCTCCCGCCTTGCCGCCCTCAAGCTTGACGCCTTCGACCTTGTCGTCATAGCCGCAACACTTCTCGCCAGCACTCTCACGCTCCCTGGGACGCTCCACAGCGAGCAACCCGGGCGCGGGGGCAAGCATCGCGGGGGCGGGCGTCCCGGGAGCGGGCCCCCTGCGGCGCCCGCTCAGCCTCATCGTCGCCTCGCGCCAGATGCGTGCATACGCGACGACCATCAGCAGCCCGCACGCGTCCAGCAGAAAGTCCACCGCACCGTACCCGCGCTGCTCGCCGCCCTCCGGCTGCACGAAGCCGCAGAACTGCCAGCCGGTCGCCGCAAACTCCGTCGCGAGGTAGGCGAGGGAGAGCGACCACGCGGCGATGGCGACGGCGACTGCGCGCGCTCGCGTCGCGTGGTTCAGGTGCGCGACGGGGTGCAGCACGGCGAGGTAGCGCTCGCCAACGATCGCGTACAGGTGCAGCAGCGAGCAGACGAGAAGCCACATCCAGAGGCTGCCGACGACGCAGCGCGCGCGCGTCAGCAGGTAGCGGCCGCTGAAGTCGTACACGCACAGCGAGACGTGCAGCGGCGCGAGGCAGCACACCTGCAGCAGGTCGCTGGCGGCGAGCGAGAACAGCAGGCGGTCGCGCGCGTTGTGGAGCCGCCGGTTGCGGCGGACGGCGACGAGGGTGAGCGCGTTGCCGACGATCGCTGCGGGGTCCGTCACGAGCAGGTTGACGACTGTGAGCACGCCGGAGAAGATGCTCGGAGCGGGCAGCGGGAAGCCCAGCGTTGCGTTCACCGCTGCCGACTCCACCGCCGCGCTCCACCCCGTCTCGTTCCCCGTAAATGCCGCCATGTTCTGTCCCTGTCCAGGGGAAAAATAACTCTTTTTTTCACGGGAGCTCTTTTTCAAGAGTCTGTGGGAAAAATAGATCGAGTCGAAAATTTTACGGGAGCTATTTTGAGCCTCACGGGAGCGATTTCGGAGGTTTGAAGAGCGAATCGTTCATCGCTGAGCGCTCCCGTGTATTTTTTACCCTGTCCCTGTCCGCTTGCACGGGTGCCGTCAAGCTCAGTTGTGTGTTGCTATTATACGATTCTATACGCAATTCACAGAATCTTTGTTCTTGGTAAACTCTTCCATGTTCTGTCCCTGTCCGCTTGCACGGGTGCCGTCAAGCTCAGTTGTGTGTTGCTATTATACGATTCTATACGCAATTCACAGAGTAAGTCACTGAGTATGGCGGAGGGTTATGACTTGTCGTGTTCTCGGTAAACTTTTCCACGTTCTGTCCCTGTCAGTTTGCATATGTGCCGGCTAGCTGTGTGTTGCTATTATATGATTCTATACGCAATTCACAGAGTAAGTCACTGAGTATGGCGGACGGTTATGACTTGTCCGGTTCTCAATCACTTGCGCCATGTTTCGTCCGTTCGTGCTGCTCCTATACAACCTTCAGTATCTGGCAGCGGCTAGTGTCAAGCTGATCTCATCGAATTCACACACAGTACGTCGCACTCTCCAACATGCCCTGCTCCACTCGTCTGTGCTGCTTCTATTCAACCCAGATCACGACGGGGGCCAAAATCGCACTGCTCACATACGACTCCTCGAACTAACACACACGATACGCCCAAGGTTACCGAATTGTCAGCAGCACCATCATCATTCTAGAACACACCTCTAGCGAGACCGAGACGCAAGTGAAGATTGCAGCCAGATCCGCAGATAGTAGTCATAAAGGTATATATAGCGTTGCGAACACACACCTGTATATATATCATCTCGGTAATAAATGTGCCACGGGGCACCAGCATGCACACATGAATCGGGAGCAATCACAGGAGGGCACCGACCACACACACACAGAGAGCAGAGCATCAGCTGATCAGCACTGACAAAGGCACCACTAGAAAATGGCTGCGATTCACACAACACTTCAAATACACCAGATACGTCAGATACGTCAGATACATCAGAGCGCATGAGCATTGGGAGAGAGCATCGTGAGACAAAAGTGCATAGAGCAAGTGCCAGAAAGTAGCAGCCAACATTACAGATATATCCACGTGTGCGCGAGCAGTGAGAGAGCGAGCATCACGAGATGCATGGAGCATGCGCGAGAAAGTAGCGAAGCAGAGGTCAGACAAAATAAGACCCCGTGTGCATCGTACTTGCACGCTTACACTGCAACGGGTATTTCTATGTATATATATATATTTATATGTACTGGTCAACAGACCAGCTGGTCAACGCCACAGATCAACACTGCATTCTCGATCTTAAAACCAGTGCTTTCCACGAGCATCTGTAGCTACCCAAGGTCAACTATTTGAGAACACTTGCTCTGGCTTCTGTCAACATATGTATAGTTAGCTCACAACAGCTGGTTCCATGTTACGAGCTGGTTTATGAGCCGTGTCCAATAATATCGAGTCATCGTCGGGCCATGGCCGGTGTAAAGTCGTAAACACACCGTACACGTTCTAAACAGGAGTAATCCTTAGTGCACTGCCATAAGTATCATTATAGACCTACTGCCGTGTGAAGAAGAATTACATAAACCCAATGCAATTCAACAGATATAAGATCACCAATGCCATAAGACCCTGCACTAGTAGCAGACTTTACAATGGAATACTTAAATATCCATAGACACAGTGAAATGAAGAAATTGGCATGTACAGATTTGGCACCTAGTTTTAGTTTTAGTTTAGGACCCCAACACGGCCACCAAATAAAAGCTCGACTGTATACTTAAATATCCACATACGCAGTAAACTGCGAGTAGCAGATAAGTAATATTTGCAATGTTTTAAAAAAACCAAGCAACCTCACCTTGACACACTTGACGGTCTTCAGTTCCTTCAGTGCTTTGTCCGACAACACACAGTTACATCCGAGCAAGAACACAAATCTGAAAATATTGTATAATGCCATATAGTGCCATATCAAGCAGAACCACTTATACAGAGATAAACACAAATTACAACAATTATTACACAAATTACAATAATTAGAACACAACTTATTACACAAATTACAAAAGATAGTATAAAAGATGGTTTTATTACAAACCAAAACGACATGACACTATTAAGGATCATTGGGAGTCTTCTGAAGTTCATATTAGACATATGTCGTAGAACAGGTTAATGCATACAGTGCAATTTGACACAGCACACTAGTTATCTAAGCTTGGGATGTTCACATACCTGTGCATGCCATTCATCTCCAGGCTGGTGACTGGGCAGATGTACTTGCTTGTTTCTGTGTCGGTATAGCCATCGCCCTTGCTGGCTACCTCTCCCGTGTATGCGGGGTTCTCCGTGAACTTGAGGGTGTGGACATCCTTTATGCTGGAGATGTGCTCAGCTTTCTCAGCATGGGATTTCTCCAACAAATATTCCAGAACTGCTTCTTTGTTGTACAATCTGTGGATCAACAGTTAACACTATAGCCGCGTTCACACGTAGCAAGAAATTCAGTATTTAGCGTTCACACGAGGCAAAATGCGCGGTCCAAGAAATACGGAATCTAAATAGATTCGGTATTTGTTGAAATACGCGGCTTCCCAGATGCCGAATTATTTGCCGTGCTTGAGAAATTCCGAATCTCTTGGACTGCGTATTTTTCTCGTGTGAACGCTAAATACCGTATTTCTGAAGCCGCGCTCGACAGTTCCAGTGTAACGCGAGTGGAACTGTCGCGCGCGGACCAGTTTACGTATTTTACCAGCAGTTGGTGCGCATTGCATTGTTTATTTCGCATTGTTCGCTTGATTGTTTAAAGCAGCTCGCAGCTCGCAAATACCGTATTTCTGGAGCCGCGAATCAGCGTGTGAATGCTCGGTCGCGAATTTGTCTCAGATTCGGTATCTCGCAAATACCGTATTTCATATACGGAGTCTCGTATGAACGCAGCTACTGTATATAGTTTTTCCCTGTGTGAGCTTCATATCCCAGTTTATACTTTCACTATGGAGCAAGGGCGGCGGAACGTATTTAATTTGGGGGGGGGGGCAAAGCCAAAAAAGGGCACGTTTATCATGTAAAAATAACTTGTGATAAACTATTATAACACTGGGCCACCATACTCAGCGTAATATGGTTATGTTTATGTATTATAACAGCGAGCCACGTCGAAGACTTGTGATAAAACTATTATAGACACTGGCACCATACTCAGCTATATGGTTATGTTTTAGTATTATAACAGCAGAGC